TATGTCTACCATACACATTTGAGGCATTATCGCGTGACTGACCACGGCCTAATCTCATTAAGAAAATCAACGACAGTATCTGTTAAATTCATTGCGCCGTGAGAAACGTTTCCATGACCATCAAAAAGCGCTCCACAAACTGTCAACTGTTACTGCTGTCTGTTGCTCGCTGAAAATGATATTAAGCACAGTGCATAAACTCCGTAGCTCCGGTGGTGAATCTCTTTAGTTTCAAGTATAAAATCCATGAAAACGAAAATTTCAAAAAAGGAAGCAAACGGTCACCCTAGTATGGCCTGCGCTTCTAGGGAAGAGGCAGGAGATGTCTCGAAAGAGCCACCCCCCCCCCCCCAACCGCCCCGCCAAGCAGAAGTTCCACGCTTGCGACTGCATGATCCGCAGCCATTCAGCCCACTGGCACATAGGTCCACCTTAGGCTGTGGCATTTTTTTTCTTCCAGTTTTGGTTGTCTTCTCTAGATCCGTTGTGTTCTGTGCCTCTTCGGTCAAGCACAACGGTTTTGACTGTAGAATGGTGTTTCTGATCAAGGGACTTACGATACGATGGCATCACTTTCACCTTATCAGTGGGTAAAGCATGTACATTGTCTGTATGTACTATATTTATGGGTGGTTTGGATGGTGGGGGGGGGGGGGTGTGAACAAGAGGGCTCAGGTGCGGTGGCCATGGACTGTACAGGTTAGGATGTTTAATTTTGCTCGAGACATAAAATCTGCATCACCTTCCCAGGGATCGAACCCGGGTCTCCCGATTGAGATCACGACTTTGTTTCCCCTTGGCCAGTCGCTTCTTTTTCCAGACTCAAAATCTTCAATATATCATGCAGTACATTTGATCTGTTTATGAGAATGAAATCTACACTTGTTGAATAATACGTTGACTTTCTTACTTCTTCCAGGATAGCACCAAAACCTGTTGTCCATTTAATTCCAAAAAAAAACTCCTCACAAAAATTTCGTTAAACAAAAAATTACGGTTTCCCTTTTCCAGAATGTCCTTACATTGTGAGGTGTTCTATCGGGAAAGGGTCAGCTTTACTCAGCGTCTTTAGTGTACTTAAATCGTTACCATTTTGTTGTGACAAAATAATCTGATTCTCTCGAAGAAATATATATATATATATATGATAATGGCATCCGTCAGTCCCGGGGGACTATGGAGATGTGCCGCTGGCTTTGGGAACAGCATCTGCTGTGACTGTATAGTCCGATGCGGGAATGGCAGTCTTTGCCACACAGGATACACACAAAAGCAGATACTCCCTCGTTGTGAGGCAGTTTTACTCTCCGGTGTCTCCTCTCCACAGCTCGTTGTGTTCGGTTTCTTTCAAAATGTGACAGTCCGTCTTTCACTTTCTGTCTCCATAGTAGTCGATCTGCAGCTGATTTGTCCCATGTCTCTGTGCCTATGTTGGTATATATATATATATATATATGACATCGTTTAGAGCAGGAATATCAGCATAGCACGTCAGGTTTCTGTAATTCGCTTTCTTGCGAAAGGAGAAATATAATTTGGATTTTGTATTAAACAGAATTAATTTAAACATCAAATATATTTTTAATTATGGCAAGTTACGTAACATACACAGAATAACTTGGGATCCCGGGGCTGACATACACTGATTAACTTGGGGTCCCCGGGTGACATACACAGTTTAACTTGGGATCCCGGGGGTAAAATACACAGAATAACTTTGGATCCCGGGGGGTGACATACACTGATTAACTTGGGATCCCGGGGTGACATACACAGATTAACTTAGGATCCCGGGGTGACATACTCAGAATTACTTGGGATCCCGGGGGGACATACACTGATTAACGTGGGGTCCTGGGGTGACATACACAGAATAACTTGGGGTCCCCAGGCAAGTTTTCAGCGGGTCCAGGGGTTAAGATGGTCCTGCACCCGGGGCTGTCGAAGTTGGTACTTTCCTACACATTTGGTACTGTTTGAGCCTTGCCGAGCAACAGTGTGCTTCGTGTAGCACGCCCGACGCTTTAGTGCGTTTTAGAAATTTCGCATCAATATTTTAAATGTTGGCATTGTGTTGAATTTGTTAACAAATGTCTCTGAGTACGGTACAAACATTAAAGGACCCCTTTTTCCACTTCAGGTGTATTGGGCATAGAGGGCTAGATCAATATTTCATCGACTAATCAGCACTTACTGGGCGATGTGGTCAACACCACGCCGACCACCTTTACTTTCAAAGACTACATCTGGTACCCGCTCAAGGATAGATCAAACTGGGAGCCAAGGTCATTTTTGGAGAAAAAAAAAATTCTGGCTCCTTCCTGTCCTAAAGACACAATCTTCCGATCCGCGGGCGAGGGTCTACCCGTTTACACCACGGCGTCTAGTGTGATTGAGAGTGTACCGAAAGTGAGTGTGATGCAACTGTTGATGCGAATGTATCATTGAGGCCCTTTATCTAAAAAGTTTTACTGAAAGAAGACCGACGTCAATAATGCCACTGATCATAAAATGTCCAAGTCGTATTTAAGAAGAACATTATGAACAAATAAATAAATAACAGGGCGGGGGAGGAAAAAGGGGGGGGGGGTATCAGTAATACAAGATTAGTCGCCTAATGCTGAAAACCCACCAGAAATAGTTTAGTTTACAATTTCGGAAGAAAAAATGAGATAAAAATCGCTTTCCATTTTCAAAATTTATGCTTAACTTTTGGTTTTACCTCAATCCTTTGCAGCTACAGAAAGAGTTTTCTTTCTGCATAACAACATTAAAATAAAAATTCGCTTTCCTCTGAAGACTTCAACAATAAATGTATTGATGAGATCAAAGTTGTTGCACCAGTGCATTCACTTCATCAACTTGGAAGCCACCACACAGCTTTATAACAAGGTAGGAGTACACAATAATAACATTAGAAAATCACTGTTGCGATAAAGAAATAATATCAATTCTTATTAAAGTTAGGGTTAGCTAGTTACTTAAAGAGTGTTAACTTTTCTTTTTTAATACAAAATTTGATACTTTTGGGTGTGTTTTGTTACTTTTCACACACACAAAAATAGTTTGGCACTATTTAAAGAAAAACATATTGGCAGCCCTAACAAATCAACATTTGGCAGTGGTTAATGTATTTCATGTTCTAAAGAAGAAAAAGGTCACCTCGAAACTGGTTGTGATCGGTGACGTCAAACACAAAAAATGCGACGTTCTCTTCACCAAACCGTCGCTGAAACTCCTGGTACGTGGCCGTTCCAAGAGCAGCGTTGACATCTCCAAAGGCAACCTGCAGACGTGACCAATGCTAGTTAATTTATATTATTTTTGATGGCACAAACAATCCGCGCACCGGGTTAGCTCTCTTGCCTGCCAGTATGGGCTGTAATGTGTTCAATGAGCTCCTGCACTTGTAGGCATAGTCACCTTGAGTTCCACCCGCCAAAAATCATCATCATCATAATCAAGTGCCTTGCCGACTGGCGTTAGCGATCATGCACCCACAGTCTTAGAGAAAACCCCTCATGTAAAATCTAAGTGTTAAACAATATAAAAGAAATAATCACCAACAACTGGTATGTTTGTTTTAGTATCCAGAAGCCATGAGTTGTTAACCCTTAGGCTCGGTATTATGGATATCGCAACCTTTCGGCCTTGATTCTATCGCAAATAGCGTAAATCTGGGAGAAACGTGGTTTTTCTACCTACCCCCGGGAGTGAGCCCGGACCACAAGGAGACGTCACCTGGTCACCGCGCAATCCGGTTTACCCACCTACGCTAGAGAGCAGGCACCAACAAATGGTAATTCAGTGTCCAATATCAATGTGATGGCTGACACAGTTTTGTCTTGACGATGTCCATTTTTTTAGTCTGACGTTGGACACGGCACATCAGTGATCACTCTCCACGTCAAGCTGTTCTGTTTACAAATGAACTCGGTTTTAAAATTGTTCAACGTCCGCTCGAAACTTTCTTGAGCTTCCTAGGAAGGTACCATCCTCCCCAAGTTGAAAATCCCTGGTCTAAACAATATTATCATAGTCTCAGTGGTCAAGATTTAAACCTCATTGCCAACGGGTCACCATATAGCTGCTCTATTCCTATGCCAGCAGATGTTACGCGAAATGCTTATCACTGTCCTATTTAAAATCTAGTGAACACACAATTAGTCCTAGCAAAATCTAGAAATATGCACACGCAGTAAATAAATAAGATTACTGCTAGAGATGCCAAAACCAACAGTCGCCAGGAGAATTGCGCTGTGTCGTATTAACAATGTCTACAAACATGGTTCAGTGTTTAAAAAACATGTCTAATTTCTGTACCGAGCGGTTTTCATCTACACAAAATTACAGTATTTGAACAAATGAAATTTTGGCGGCAAAAGGCGAATTTAATGGGGGAAAAAACTTTTGGAATGCTAAGACATAAATTCCTGGAGGACATAGACACGGATCATAATGAGTGCACAAGTTACCTAAAATTTTGGTTATCGTTTGAGAAGGCGACCCATGATCGTCAACGCACACTGGGCATGACACATGATGAATATGATGATGATGATTATGATGGCAATGTTGATGATGATGATGATGGTGATGATGATGGTGGTGATGATGATGATGTTGATGATAATGATGGTGATGATGATGAAGATGGTGATGATGAAGATGGTGATGATGATGGTGATGTTGATGGTGATAATTATGATGATGATGATGAAGATGGTGATGATGATGGTGATGATGTTGATGGTGATGATGATGGTGATGATGATGGTGATGATGATGGTGATAATGATGATGATGAAGATGGTGATGATGATGGTGATGATGATGATGGTGAGGATGATGATGATGGTGAAAATGATGATGATGATGATGATGACAACACAAAACAAACATGTTACTTTTGCGCCATGTTCCAGCAGGGCTTCAGCATAAGCCTTTCCCAGGCCTTGAGCGGCCCCTGTGATAAAAACCACTTTGCCTGATATTTGCATGACTACAACGATGTATGACCACCGACAAGCTGCATCTGGTCTCATCCTACTTATATACGTAGACTCGGCCAGGAGATAACTAACGTTAGTTCTCTCTTCTACCTGTCGAATCATAGCCGTCGCAAACTAGAGGGTCCTATGTCACTGCATTTTCATATATATATATATATATATATATATATATATATATATATATATATATATATATATATATATATATATATATATATATATATATATATAGAGAGAGAGAGAGAGAGAGAGAGAGAGAGAGATTAATACTTTCGCCCTTCTTTCTCCAATTATATATATATATGTATGTGTGTGTGTGTGTGTGTGTGTGTGTTTTTTTTTTTTTTTTTTTTTTGTTTATAGGCCAGACTCAACACTCAGGGAAAAGGCGAGAGGGATAAAAATCAGTGTTGATGGCACTATCGGAGATAGAGGTCTGCGCTGGCTGCTGAATATGGGGACGGAGCGCTTATGGGAATGTCCCTAGCGCTGTGATGTCGATTCTTCATTACTCAACATTCTAGAACAACATGTAGACAGGTGTACAATTCTTGTTCTTCTGTTGTCCTGCGGCTTATGCCCCCCAAGCTTCGCGCAGTGGGGTTGGATGTAGTTGACTATGTTTTGCTAGCTCCGTAGCTTGTTGTAATGTCATAGCGTGTTTCTGTAATGTCTCTTTTACTAATTCCATCCATTTCTTTCTTGGTCAACCTCTTGAATGCAGCCTGTGGTTTTCATTATGTACGTTCTAGCTGCTAGCTTAGCTCCCCCCACCCACCCCCCCCCCCCCACCTTGACCAGGTGACTAAACCATTTGATTCTGGGGCCGCGTTAGAGCAGTCGATAGAAGACTCGCTTTCAAATCCTGCTGCGACTCGCTGCAGCCCACGGCCAGTGTTCAAAACTGGGCGGTTCTTGGGGTTCATACAGCCTCTAGGTAATGGGTACCAGAGTTAACACTCTGTGGTAATTGGAGGAACGTCGCTGTAGCTATGGAGTTGCATGCAGACGACGACACAGGTGGACATTTTCTTATCAGCTGTCCGTACTGGTGTCGGCTCTGTGGCTAAGTCGATGCGAACGCTTCGTAATGCCGGGATGCCGGGTTCGATCCCAGCTGCAGGCCATGCGCCTTGCGTTGGTTTTGACAGTGGTATCAAGAAAGCCGACCGTCCAGTAGCAATGGCGAACTACTGGATGTAAATTTGCCTAGAAAAACGACACAACAGCCAGGGGATGTTGGGGTTGGTTCTGCAACGTCCTGTAAAGGATACGCAACTAACCTGTCCTTACTGGTAGCAGAGCACTTATGGTTTATGACTATGTCCAAAGACGCTGGTTCACATCTCCTGACTTTACCTTTTACCATTTGATTCTTTGATGTTGCATGAAATCATTTACCGCTTTTGCGTCTATCATTGTTCTTGGTTTTTTCACTGGTGACATCGTCTCTTCTTTTTTTTGCTGCATTTTTTTATACATCTTATCTGAAATGTTGTAATTTTGCTTTTATATTTTTCTAGGACTGTCCATGTCTGGCACTGATAGCACAAAGTTGGTATGAATGGCTGAGTATCAGCTGCTGGCTGTGCGTGTGTGCATGTGTGTGCATGTGTGTGTGTGTGTGTGTGTGTGTGTGTGTGTGTGTGGTTGTGTTAGTGTGTTAATATTTTTTTCAATATATCATAATATTGCCTCCTCCTCGCATGTTTTCTGTTCTTTTCCGCCCCTGTGTCGGCTGATGCCGGCAGAAATGTGGCCAGAGTACCAACAACTGTTATGTTGTTTATTACCGTGTGTTGGCCAGTTCTAACTGATTTGTTTCAATGCAGCAAGCATAGGCTTTATCGTGCGCTTAAATAATTTATTGTTTTTTATTTTAAACACATTTTATACTTAGAACCCTGACCTTTGTAATAATATAATATATGTATGTGACTCGTGCAGTACAAATTAGTTTCTTTTTTTTTATCCAGAACCTTTTAAAATGCATTTTTGGGGGGGGTGGGGGGGGGGGGGGGGGTCTGTAATTAATTCTCTGTAGAGTGTGTCTAGTGCCGAATTTGTCATAATTAAAGAAACAAACGATTTTATCATTTGGTCAGGATGGAAGCCAGTAAATAAATGTCTCTCTTCATGTCAGTGACGCACCTGGCATATGGTGCTGACTCATGTTTGTACTGACCTCGATAGGTGATGTGATTAACATCACACCGGCCGCCTTCGCTTCCCAGCACTTTGCCCGGTATCAATTTAAGAATGTGTCTACCTGAAGCCAAGGTCATGTTTGAAAAGAACAAAACCGGCTCCATGATGATTTGAACCTACGACTTTCAGATCTGCAGGTCAGCATCTAGCCACTACACGACGGCGGCTGCTGACATTCATGGCCACATATTTCTACACTGCCAGTAATTTGTGATACAAATTCTTGTGAATTGTTTTGTAGTATATCCCTTTTCAGACAAACAGTATTCAAAGAGTGTAGTCAACATGCCGACATTGTAGTCGGCATGTTGAAGCTGATGTTTTCATGTTCTAGAGAGTTGTGATTTTCTGTGTGGATTAGAGTTAGTCAAAAGCTCAGTGGTGATGAATGCAACACCTAACCTGAGACACAATCAGACAGAGTTGAGTTGACTTAGTCAAGAATTAACATCACAGCACTCCGGACATTCCCATGCATGTTCCGTCCTCATCTTCAGCAGCCAGCGCAGAGTTCCAATACTGATGGTACCAGTCACAATCTAGTTTTATGTCCGTCTTGCCTTTCCTCTGAGTGTAGTGAGCCAGCCAGACCCTCTGGTTACACTCAGGTGCCTCATTCTCTCCAGGCCATAATAACCTTGTTTCTCTACTGAATCTGTTGCTTGTTCCCAAAGGGCCTTGACCACATCTGCCTTGTCATGTATCAACTCACCACCCAATGGTGCAGATCCAGCCAATCTATCTACCCGTACATTACCCACCAAACCGGCATTGCCTGGAGAAAAGATCCAAAGTGTGCCTACTACCTGTGACCTTCTTCCCAGTGAAGCTTGGCACTTTGCTCATAGCATCCCTGTCTTCACCTTTCTCAGCATGCATGCAGAGTTTGTTACAATTACGACATGTATATGCATCTTGTTCTCAAGCCACCGGAGAGCTACAGTTACCGCCTCCACCTCCATTCTCAAGCTAGATGTAGTGATGTCGTATGCTAGGCTTTCTTGCACTAATGATTTTCCATGGGCACTTCTCTTTCCTCTGTATAACTGTCAGAGTGAATCAACAGCTTTGTGCTATTGTATGTTAGCGTTATACTAATTAATGTTAGCATTGTGCCGATGTATGTCTGCTCTATGCTGCTGTATGTTAGCTTTGTGCTGGTGTAAGTTAGTCGTTTGCTCATGTATGTGTGCACTGCGCTGATGTAATTTAGCGATGTACTGAGGTGTGTTAGCGTTATGTTGGGGTATGTCAGCGTTGCGCTGATGTATCTTAGTAATATACGTTATCGCTGTGCCAAAGTATGTTAGCGTTGCGCTGAAGTTTTTTAGCGTTGTACTAAGGTTTTTTAGCGTGAGTCTAATATATAGTGGCGTTGTACTGAGGTTTGTTAGCGTCAGTCTAATATATAGCGACGTTGTGCTGAAATATGTTAGCGTTGTACTGGTGTTTGTTAGCCTTATGCTGATGGCGGTGTGCGTCGTGGTGATGTATTTAAATGGTGTGCTGAAGTATATTTTCGCTGTTCTGAGGTATGTTAGCGTTGTTCTAAAGTATTTTAGCGTTTCTCTTATATGGGTTAGCATTACACTCATGCAAGTTAGCGTTGCTCTGAAATATGTTAGCATTGTTTTGATGTATGTTAGCGTTTTTCTGATGTATGTTAGCGTTGTGCTGATGTATGGTACCTGTCGTGGAGTGAACAGCCAACCCTACACTGTGGACTGTTCGCGACGCTGACCTCCCTAAGCGGGCACGTCACATTTCAAATTAAAACCCGTCCAGAGGGGTATATAGTCCCTTATATGGATATATACCTCTATCTGGGGAAATAATCATTTCTAGACCTTCTAGTTGTTTTGAGAAGTCTATATTTTCAAACTTGCAACTGTGGGATGAATATTTTTTGAGTTTATTCTGACATTCCTGTAAGCCTTTTTACTCCTTGGGCACGAATACAGGGACTTCTTTCCTAGAGACGCCAAGTTTAGTCTGAGCGGGCATTCTTTTGCCAAACATCTGAGGTGTCGGAAGAATTTGTATTTCGCTCCTCAACTTTGACGCTTACAAAGTACCAGTTAATCCTTGAAGGATTCCTAAGCTTGGAATGAAATCTCCTTAGAAGTCAAGCAGACGAATCACAGTCCAACCAGCAATCACCAACCCATAACCAGCAATCACCACCCCATACCATTCCTATCACCAATCCTACCCAAAACCCTACCTATTGTTGGCAGAACATCAACATGGCAGGAGTTGGTGTGTGAGTTCCAGTGGCTGAGTGACAGTCTTGCAGGCCACCTGTGTCATCAATCAAGGAATCCTTCCTCAGGAGCTTGTGTGTGAGTTCCAGTGGCTGAGTGACAGTATTGCAGGCCACCCGTGTCATCAGTCCAAGGAAGTCTTCTTCAGGAGCTGTGCTGGGCTCCAGTGTGGTTCCTTGTCCTCATATGTGAGACGATCAGTGGGTGCCAGATCCACCAGAGAGAAAAGCAATCTATTGAGTCAGCCGGTTCAAGTCACCATGGACTGAGGGGAGCAGAGACCTACCAGTTTGGTTAAGTACATCTAGGATCACCTACATGCTCTCTGTCCATGCTCACCTTTAGTTCACCGTGATGAAATATGTACTTGTTTAAGAACTGACTCTGGCTGTTTCAACATTATTGCTGTGACGTTAAGTCATGAACTCCTTTCACTGGAAACCATCTTGATTGTCTTGATATATATATATCTATGTATATACTGAAAATATTACCTGCATTCTCATAAATTTTCAT